TATATATATATATATATATATATATATATATATATATATATATATATATATATATATATATATATGCAGAAGTTAACTAATATAAGCAGTTTTATCGAACCTCGTACTTCAAAAATCCTTCGAGAACATCCAAAAGCAATGGACCACTATCCCCATTCCTGTTAAGATCATATCCATTCTTGCTGCTAAATTCTTTTAGCTCTGATTTCCAAGAATCCTTTGGCTGCAAACAAGTGAGCTTTTGTAAATTGAAGTAATAATTGACAATTTATGCAAGGTGGTTTAACATCATTAAAGAAAGCTGTATATTATTACCAAATTACACTCTGGCAAATAAACTTTAAGTGTGTGGTTTAATTGAGCCCAGTCAAAATATTCACATATGAATGCAGTTAGTAGCCTTCCTGCATTTAGAAAAGAAAATAAAACAGGTAACAAGGAATTAGTGAAGGAAAATATGTAATATATTAACTCTTCTTTAACTACTTAAAGTCTTAAACACCTATCTCCATGCACTGATTATAGAACTACACGACCTAATGTGGTGAAAGGCACTTTAACCTACAAGGAATATTGGTGTTAAATATCAGTGTGCTATATAAAAACTCTTAAGTAACTATAGATGTTCTCCACTTTAAGATGATTATGCAAGAGAAATGGGAAGCGAGTGCACAATCTACAACACTGTCATTAATGAAAAAACAAATACAAATTTAGCATGACCACTAAAGCATTTGACCAAACAATCAAGTATGTTATCCTCGTAACTCGTGCAAAAGATGCTAGTGTCTGCATCACAATGAACGAAGAAGTCAAAATAGACTTAGGACAGAAATGAGCTAGGGAGATGCTTATGTCCTTTTCTATGACAACTAAAAACCAAAGCAGGGAAAGACCTCGTCCAAGGGCCCCGGAAAAAAAAAAAGGAAAGACAGAATGCATAGATTTACTTATTTATATTTGTTCTTTTACAAGTTCACACCTTTCTCTGACTCAAAATACTAAAGTCAATACACTTGACTCTTTATCACTTAAATTTTTTTTCTGTATAAGGTATAATTAACTATTTATATTCATACTTACCATATACTATTTCATTTAAAGAAAATTGACTATTTATCACAAAGCTCTAGGAATTGACAATATTCAACTTAATAAAATATCAATTGCAAGCAGAATTACTTCAGGTATCCAAAAGAACTAGACACGTTTTGACTAAAGACATTGATTAACTGTTTAATATCGGTCAGATCACCTTGAGGTATAGCGTAGTGGTCAACGAACTGGGTGCAAACTTTTGCGATCAAGGTTCAAATCCCAGCAAAAACAAAAAAAAAATAGGTGATTTCTTCCCATCTACCTAAGCACTTGGTAGCGAGCTACCCAGTATCTATGTTGGTGAGAGGTTGTAGGTACACGCGGATATAACAAAGGCGCGAAAGCCGGCCTGAACACCACAATTATTAAAAGAATTGGTTGGGAACATGAAGGACTATATCTCGACTTTTGTGTTTTTTCTTTTTAACTTTTTGTTGTTGTTATTTAATAGTATAGTTCTATTTATATGCTGCCCTTACATAGTTATATTCAAATGCTTCCAACCAAAGTCCAAAGAAATCCGATGGCTTTCTTCTCAGCTGGTTCTAGATGATTTTTTATAAGGTTCGATGATCTTACTAACCACAAGGATACAAACTTCATGTGGCATCAAATTCCAGGCTATAATGTTTTAGGAAAGATTAAAAATCAGAACCTTAATTCTTAGAAAGTAACCTGAAAAGAAACATAAATCTTTGGCAACAGAAAGTGTTTTCATCTCCAATTCAGATTTAGGTTGGACTTGATTTGATCAGGCAGGCAGGTTCTCACATTTAGATTCTAAAAGACTAGTTCAGATATCTAGATTGAACAGTTAAACAGCATATGTATAAGTACATAGAACAAACTCAACCTATTACAATATTTTGAGAGTTCCATGGGCACAACAATACTCTGCAGAGTACACACAATACTGAACACTCAGCTTTCAGATATATATATATATATATA